AAAATGAAACGTGAATGCCCACATTTAAAGAATTATTATTTTAAATAATTAAGTTGAATTATTTAATTGTCCCGCAGTGAGTTGGCCCGGAAGGGTTGCCCCATTCCAGCCTCAGAGGCAGCAGGGCAGGGGTCTCAGGAACCACTTTTTCCAGCTTTGCCTGGGGGGGGGACAGAGGACCAGAGGGGGGGGGAGCTTTCCCACGCTCCTAAGGGAAGTTCTGAGGTTGAGCAAAGAGATCCGTGCCAACCTCGTCCTCTGAACGAACCCAGGACGGACCGTGAGCCGGAGCAGAAGAGAAGCCCCAAAACTTTGGGGGTCCCTCCCCCCTCCCCAACTTGGCATTCCTTCGGAATTAGCTGCTTCCCTCAATTACATCCTTTTCCCGAGATGGCAGGAAGAAAGGCGGCGATTAAGGCGCGTTCGAGATGGCAGGAAGAAAGGCGGCGATTAAGGCGCGTTATCTCCTGATCTGCTTTCTTCACAAAGGGTCCATTTGCTTAACCTTTCCCCCCACACACTGCTTGACCTTGTCAGAAATGTTCACGTTCAGATGAAGTGAGGGGACAACAAGGCTGGACAACTGAGCCATCGGACCGGAACCCCTTCACCTCTTTCACCCTAATTGAAAGGACGTTGCGGAGTAGACAGCAAAGCCACGGTGCCCCTGGTGCTTTGGGGTACCCCGGAGTGCCTTTGTGCACCCAGCAGAATCTCGGTAAGGCGGAGTCGGGGTCCAGCACCAGCCGTGCTACAGAGGGGACACGGGACACCCCTCAGCTAGAGAGAGGCAGCCCTGTAGCTGGGAGGCTGAGTTTAACCTCTCAAGCCCTGTTTCAGTGTTTGAGGGGCTCCTACAAAGACGAGGGGCTCAATCAGAATAGAGCTGGAAGGGACCTCGGAGGTCTTGTAGTCCAGCCCCCTGCTCAAGCAGGAGACCCTATAGCATTTCAGACAAGTGGCTGTCCAGTCTCTCCTTAAAAACCTCCAGTGATGGAGCACCCACAACTTCTGGAGGCCAAGCTGTTAATTGTCTTCCCTGTTAGGAAGTTTCTCCTTAATTCCAGGTTGCTTCTCTCCTTGATGAGTTTCCATCCGTTGCTTCTTGTCCTGCCTTCAGGTGCCTTGGAGAATAAGTTGACCCCTCTTCTTTGTGGTAGCCCCTCAAATATCCAATGAACAGCCATTGCCCAATGGTCATCCAATCTCTTCTTAAAAACCTCTAGTGATGAAGCACCCACAACTTCTGGAGGCAAGCTGTCCCACTTGTTAATTGTCCTCACTGTTGGGAAGTTTCTCCTTAATTTCTCCTTAATGCTTCTCTCCTTGATGAGTTTCCATCCGTTGCTTCTTGTCCTGCCTTCGGGTGCTTTGGAGAATAATGTGACACCACCCCTCTTCATTGTGGCAGCTCCTCAGATACCGGAACACGGCTATCCTGTCTCCCCTATTTCTTCTTTTCTTCAGACTAGCCAAGCCCAAGTCCTGCAGCCGTTCTTCCATGTTTTGGTCTCCAGGCCTTGGATCATCTTAGTTGCTCTTCTCTGAATTCCCCCCCCCCCAAACTCTCAACATCTTTTCTTGTGATAAGGTGACCAAAATTGGCTGCAGTATTCCAGGTGTGGCCTTACTAGGGTTTGATAAAGCGGTACTAATACTTCGCGTGATCTTGATTCTGTGCCTCTGTTTATACAATCCAGAATTGTATTTGCTTTTTTGGCTGCTGCTGCTGCATGAAGTCTTCCTTTCCTTTCCTTTCCTTCCTTTCCTTTCTTTCTTTTCCTTTCCTTTCCTCCTTTCCTTTCTTTTCCTTTCCTTCCTTTCCTTTCTTTTTCTTCCTTTCCTTTCCTTCCCTTCCTTCCTTCCTTCCTTCCTTTCCTTTCCTTTCCTTCCTTTCCTTTCCTTTCCTTCCTTCCCTTCTTTCCTTTCCTTTCCTTTTTTGGCTGCTTGCTGCACACAGGCCTGGAGCGCTGTTTTCCTGGAATCCTTTTGCTGTTAATGGTTGAGCTATTGATCACCTGTCAGGTGGCGCTTCTGTGCTCCAGACTGCAAACGTCACAATGCACCTTTTAAAAAGCAGACAATCTCACAGCAATTCCATTAAAAAGAGCAGCTTGGCGATGCTCGAGTTTGCAGCACACAAGAAGTCTCCTTACCTGGGGAGTACAGCAGGTGATGTGTGTGTGTGGGGGGGGAGATTTATGCACAAGAGGTCACTCTGAAAACACCGCCTGTTTTAGACCCACCTGGAAAACCATCATGATCCACAGCTAGTCCTCAACTTACAACAGTTCGTTCAGTTCAAAGTTAACAACAGCACTGGAAAAAGTGACTTATGGATGCTTTTCACACTTACAACCGTTGCAGCATCCTTCTGGATTCTAATTCTAATTCTAGTTCTATTCTATTCTATTTTATTCTATTCCATTCCATTCCATATTCTATTCTACTCTATTCCATATTCTATTCCATATTCTATTCCATTCCACTCCACTCCATTCCATATTTTCTATTCTATTCTATTCTATTCTATTCTATTCTATTCTTTCTCCTGTTCTATTCTATTCTAGTCTACTCTTTCTCATTATTCTGTTCTGTTCTATTCTATTCTATTCTATTCTATTCTACTCTACTCTACTCTATTCTATTCTATTCTTTCTCCTATTCTATTCTATTCTATTCTATTCTATTCTATTCTGTTCTGTTCTATTCTATTCTATTCTATTCTATTCTATTCTTTCCATATTCTATTCTATTCTATTCTATTCTATTCTATTCTATTCTATTCTATTCTATTCTATTCTATTCTATTCTATTCTATTCTATTCTATTCCATTCTGTCCTAGAGGCCCCTGGATTTTAAGCCATCTTCATCTCCCAGGTAGATGCTGCTGCACCGCCCAGCTTGGCTGTGCTACTCCAAGCATTGGGGGCCCTTTTTCCTAAATCCATGGGAGGCTGACACGAACTGAATGAGCCCAAGAGAAGGGAATGGCACTAAGCCTGTCCTGAAATAAAAATCCATCTCGTACTCAAAGGTCACTTGTCATTCAACCCTGCAACTCATTAAAAAAAAAGTTTCCACTCCTGTCACTTGAGACACCTCTCCAGGGCGGCTGGGCACAGTGAAAGAGGGGAAAATTCAACTGCCCCTTCCCTAAAATAACAGGCCGCTCTTTCCTGTCTCCTTCGCAATCTCGACCTTCCTTTGCTGCTGGCTGAACTGCCTGCTTTCTTTCTGCTTCCCTGCAGCCGCCGAGAAGCCTTTTCTGCTCAGGAGCTGCTCTTGAAACCTGCAATGACAACACTGGGGGTAGGGCAGTGGTGGGGTTCAGCCGGTTTGCACCGGTTCGGTAGAACTGGTAGCTAATGTTTTGTTGACTTTGGAGAACTGGCTGAAGCCCTAGCCCTTTTTCGCAAGGCCCAGATCAGACCACTGGGAGGGCGTGGATGCCGCTTCTGGAAGTCCGTTCTGAGCTTCAGAGGCCCGGGGGAAGCCTCCCTGGCCCAGAATAAATCTCTGGGAGTACAGGAAGTCCATTCTGAGCTTCAGAGGCCTGGGGGAGGCCTCCTGGCCCAGAACAAATCTCTGGGAGTGCATGGATGCCGCTTCCGGAAGTCCATTCTGAGCTTCAGAGGCCTGGGGGAGGCCTCCAAAACAAATCTCTGGGAGTGCGTGGATGCCACTTCCAGAAGTCCGTTCTTCAGAGGCCCGGGGGAGGCCTCCAAAACAAATCTCTGGGAGTGCATGAATGCCACTTCCAGAAGTCCGTTCTGAGCTTCAGAGGCCTGGGTGAGGCCTCCAAAACAAATTTCTGGGAGTGCATGGATGCCACTTCCGGAAGTCCGTTCTGAGCTTCAGAAGCCCGGGGGAGGTCTCCCCAGCCCAGAATGGCCCACTGGAAGTGCATAGACACAACTTCCGGAAGTCCGTTCTGAGTTGGGGAGGCTCCCAGGCCCAGAACGGCCCACCAGAAGGATGTGGATGCCACTTCCGGAAGTCCATTCTGACCCTCGGAGGCCTGGGGGAGGCCTTCCAGGCCCAGAACAGCTCACTGGAAGTGCATGGACACCATTCCGGAAGTCCATTCTGAGCCGGGAAGGCCTCCCAGGCCCAGAATGGACTTCCAGAAGCGGCGTCCACGCAGAGAACCGGTTGTTCAGATATTTGAATCCCACCAATGGGGTAGGGGAGGGTGGGATTGAGAAGGTGCGCTGGGGGCCTCCAGAGATGTTTTCAGGACAAGCAGGAACAGAGGTCTTCTAAGGACCCAGAGCGGAATGGGACAACTCACCGCCACCAACTTGCCCCACCCAATTTACCACGGCCAGCTCGCTGCGGGACAATTTAACAATTCAATCATTTAAAATACTTTAAAAAGTATTTTAATTTTTTTTTTTTGTCATTCCCATTTCGTTTTGGCATCCTTTCTTTAATGATTCTATTCCACCCTTTCTTCCATAATAGTGTAACTCTTGTCCCGCCGCAAGTTGTGGTAGACCCGACTCAGAGACTGTCAGGTTGGTGCTCCTGTGGTCCCTGCCTGGCTTGGAGGGAAGGGGGACCCAACTGGGGGAGGGCTGGGAATAATTGTGGACGGAATTGGCTATAATGCACAAGGGTGTTTGATGCCAGCTGCTTGTCATTCTGAAGTAGCCGGCCTTGCCGCATTGGAGCAATCCTTACACGCCCGGTTGCTCAACTAAAGTTGTGTGCCCCTCCCCTGCCTGCGGGGCCAAGGAAAAGGTTTGGCCTGAAAATTAAAAATGTGGGGAACTTCACATCCTCTGACCACATTCTCTCGACTGGTTCCCAGGCTCTGGAGTGGCTGCAGTGGGAAACTTTTTGGGAAGTGCCCAGGACGTCTTTGGGTCTGCTGATGTTTTGAGGTTCTTGGCACGTTGTGCCTTCCTGTTGTGTGATTTCCTCACTCGCTTCCCCAAATAACCCGGTAGAAATAGCACAAGGAAAGATACCCGCCACACTGAACGCACGATAATCGTGATTTTACGTTTTTATTTCGGCATCGGAAGGACACTTCGGAGATAAAATTCAATCCGTGTTTCTCTACAGGCACCGTAATTCTTTGCGCTATTTGGTAAAAACGTGAGACTGTTTCTCAAATGCCGGACTAGAATAAGAACTACGTATGTGATGAAGTAAAATAGGGAAACCCCGTTTCTATAGGGGCAGAACGTGGACCGAACATCCCGCCGTTGATGGGGGCTCTCTTGGCCCCAAAGGAAATCAGGCCTTTGCTGCGGAGGAAATGAGATTGTGCACAAAAAAAGATGGAAAATGGAACAGGTTAAAAAAAAAAATGAGATGATCACGCATGCTATTTTTCAAAAACCCAGCCAAAGCAGCTAAATGAACTAGAAGCTATCGATCTGCATTATTTTTGTTGCAAATGCTGTATTTTAACAGGTTTCTGCAGAGCGTAACTCCCTGGTCAGATAACAAGAGCAGCTTCTGCTCTCTATTTGTTCCTCCTGCCCCTAAAACAGTGGGGGGAGGAGGAGAAGGAAGGAAGGAAGGAAAGAAGGGGAGGAGGAGGAGGAGAAGAAAGAAAGAAAGAAAGAAAGGAAGGAAGGAAGGGGAGGAGGAGAGAAGAAAGGAAGGAAGGAAGGAAGGAAAGAAAGAGAGGCAGCGTGGTTTCGCAAGCTGCCTGCCTCCCAAGGATGGGGCTCACTTGTTTACATAGCATGCCCAGTTTCTGGCATGACACAGCCCGGCGCTGGTCCATAGACCGGGGGTTTGGGGACCCCCTGCCCTAAAGTGGTTAGCTTGATGCCTCAAATTAGCTGCAGTCTTGAGACACCCCAATTATCTGCTGCAAGGTGGGAGCAACCGGTCTTTTCACCCTTCAGTCCTCTGACCATATCCTGCCTCCATTTTTGAGGGTTCCTTCGACCAGGAGAAGAGCTGTGGTGGCGCAGTGGTTAGAATGCGGTATTGCAGGTTGACTCTGCCCACAGTCAAGAAGTTCGATCCTGACCGGCTCACGGTTGACTCAGCCTTCCGTCCTTCTGAGGTGGGTAAAACGAGGACCCAGATTGTCGGGGGGCAAGAGGCGGACTCTGTAAACCGCTTAGAGAGGGCTACATCCTCTAAGGCACCCACAGCAGCTGCCTCAAAGGACACCCCTTGGATCATGACGTTGCAGGGCTTAGAATGCAGCATTGCAGGCTGACTCTGCCCACAGCCAGGAAGTTCGACCCTGACCGGCTGGAGGTCGACTCAGCCTTCCATCCTTCCGAGGTCGGTAAAAGGAAGACCCCAGATTGTTGGAGGGAAGATGCTGACTCTGTAAACCTCTTAGAGAGGGCTGTGAAGCACTGTGAAGCGGTATATAAGTCCTAAGTGATATTGGCTCCATCTGTTTTTTACGTGCATAGAAAAGAGATGGCACGTTATGCTGACTGTTTTGTACCTTGCGGTCACCCCTAAATGTGGAAGGTGGGGTGGCCACCTGCAAGAGGCCAAAGGGCTATCCAGGTGGATGGGAGCTGGTGAGGTGATACCATAGGGAAAAGAACAGAAGGTGACTGATGGCAAGGGGGGGGGGAGGGAGGTCAATGGAAAACCACCTGAGGGGCGTTCTGGAGCTTTGCAATGAGGCATCTGTAATACTACTAGCTGTGGTGGTCTTGCAGATCAATGCATGTAGCTATAAAACAGAAAGAATTGCAGCTTTCATCATGGACACTGGGGAAGCCTTTAAGAACAGCTAAAGCTACTTCACTGTTTCATAATACAGATAAATAATAAAGACCAGTTGCTTCGGCTGGGAATGCAAGGGTGTTCTTTTCCTGCACATGATCAGCCTTTGATCCAAGCAAAAGGAAAGAAAAAACCCCTCCCCCACACACTTCCTGATCTGCATGGGAGATGCATTTCCTGGGAATGCAGAATCCACAAAAAAAACAAACAAACATCCACTTCCTGTACATCTTCTGGAAAAACAGTTACTGTACAATGGGGAGGAGTCTCCGAATTTGGCAACTTTTAAGACTGGGGGACTTCAACTCCCAGAATTCCTCCAGCCAGTATGGAGTTGAAGTCCCCAGGTCTTTAAAGCCTTACCAAGTTTGGAGAACCCCCTCCTCTTACAAGTGGAAGGACGCCAGTGCATCCCAGCCAGAAGTCGCCGATAACTCCTAAACCAAAGAATGCCAAATAAAACTGTTTGTTTGTTTAATGCTTGCTCACTCTTCGTCCCACAGCCTGGTCATAATCACGCAGATGCGTCCTTCGGCTTTTTGGGAAAATAAAATAAAAATAAAATAAAATATATAACCCCGAAAGCCATCTTGGCTCTGAAGAAAAACAATCTGATCAATACGTACACTGTATTGCCTATTTCATTCAATTTCCCTTTTCTCGGAATCCTTGAAATGCCTCAATTTAACAGTTTTCGGAATCTGACGCCTCGCGTGCCTTACGTTGACCCTTGGGTGGCTTGGGCACACATCAGGCAGTGCTACCGGTTTTCCTGCTGGAAGTGTGAGTCCACTGGAATGAATCTGGTCCTGATCTGAGCACCGGGGCTGCATTTAAGAGAGCGAGGGCAGGTAGGCCCTAGGTGGGCAGGGGGTGAATTTCTGCCCCCTTAGGAAGAACCAGGCGGTCCGTCTTTCTTCTGCTGCTGCTGCTCCAGTTCCTGCAGACGTTCCTCTCGGAAGTGAGCGTGCTGGCTGCCCACTTTATGGGCCGTCTCTGTAGCGGTGATATCAATCTGGGCATATTTTGTGGTTTCACTGCCTGGGGGGGGAGGTGGGAGGTAAAAGCATTGCACTGGCCATCCAGCGGACCCCACAACTGCAGAGTGGAAATCTGGATTTGCACAAGCACCAGTAAAGAGCGTCTCCGTTCTTTTCTCCTCCAAAAGGGCAGGAGTTAAAACTTACAGAAATGGAGGGTCTGTAATCACAAAGGTCCTTATTTCCCGCCCTCGCTGCGTGCTGGATGGCTAATCTGGACTTTTATCTAATACAGGCCGTCCTTGACTTACAACGGTTCACTGAGTGACATTCGAAGTTACAACGGTATTGAAAAAAAGTGACTTCGGACATTTTTCACGGTTGCAGCACCCCAATGTCGTGTGATCAAAATCCAGACACTGGCCAACTGACTCGTATTTACGACGGTCGCGGTGTCCCGGAGTCACATGATCCCTTTTCTGTGACCTTCTGACAAGACGGGGAAACAAGACTCACTTCGCAACCGTCTTACTAATTTAACAACGGCGGCGATTCCCTTAACCAAAAGGGCAAGACAAGTCGTAAAACGGGGCAGGGCTCACTCAGCAAATTTCTCACTTAGCAACATCAATTTTGGGGCTCAACGGCGGTCGTTAAGTCAAGGACCACCTGTCACTGTGGCTATTTTACTTAGATTCAGGGCTGGCTGAGGAATTCTGGGAGTTGAAGTCCACAAGTCTTCAAGTGGCCAAGTTTGAAGACCCCTGCTTTACGCTCTTTCCTGCTCAAGTTATTTTCATGGATTCTTACCCCGAATGCCTGCGCTGGGCTCCTGAAGCTCCACCTCCATGTAATGGAGTTGCTTCTTGGCGGTGGGACTTGTAGGGATATTCACGTACGTCGCCGTGTCGCCGTGCCATTGCTCGGAAAGCGGCAGTTCTGCAGGAAATAAACAGAGGCGAAGTCTGTGGGGATGGCCGTGGGAGCGGGAGGCAGACCAGACAACGGTCAGATAAGTAGCAGCTGAGCCTGCAGAAGGAAGGTGGGCATTACTACTACCTCAGAAGGGACCTTCCCTAGTATCTTGGGCTGTAAAGGCATATGTGGGGGGAGGGAGATGTACTTTTACACTAGCAAAATTTCCTTCGTGTTTTTTCTTCTTCTTTTAACAATCATGTAGTCCCTTAATTTGGGGCAGGATTTGGGCAACTGACTGGAGCCGAGCGTTTGCTGCCCGGATGCCCTTCCTGACGCCTAGGCAGAGTTTGCAATAGGTGTTTTGTCTTCTTGCCCTGAGAGAGAAACTACGAAATTTCCTTGGTGTTTTTTTTTTCCTTTCTTCTTTTTATGACCTTGTAGTCCCTTAATTCGGGGCGAGCTCATGGCGACTGACTGAATCGGAACATTAACTGGCCGGATACGCCTCCTGACACCCACACCAAGTTCACGGCAGATTATTTTCTCTTCGCACCCTTTGTACTGAAGCTATGAAATTTCCTTTGTGTAACCTTGCAATAAAGATACAGTAGTGGCCAAAATTGTGGGAACCTTTTGGGGAAAATGTAGTTTTGAGGTTTGATGGCTAATAACACCACTTATTATATATCAATGGAAAGATAATTTAATCAAGAACGTAATGCAACAAAGTTTGTTCAATGATCTGTACTGTATTCCATGAAAAGTTATAGCCGAATAACCAGAAAAGGGAAGCACAACTTGCTTAGGTTGATCTCAGGTAGCTTTCCTTCATCTGATTGTAGCCAATGAGCGTGAGTGTTTAGAAAGCCAATCAGGTGCCGTCTTGTTTTGGCAATGAGCCAATCAGATCACAGTAGGATTCGGTTTGATCTCATGTATTGTGTTAGGATAATAATTAATCAATGTGTAATAATATATAATAATAATAGTGAATAATAGTTGGAAGGGAATTGGAAGATAAAGTTGGAAGGGATCTTGGAAGTCATCTAGTCCAACCCCCTGCTCAGGCAGGAAACCCTATACCATTTTGGACAAATGGCTGTCCAGTTTCTTCTTAAAAACTTCCAGTGTTGGCACATTCACTTCTTCTGGAGGCAGGTTATTCCACTGGTTAATTGTTCTCACTGTCAGGAAGTTTCTCCTTAGTTCTAGGTTGCTTCTCTCCTCGCTTAGTTTCCATCCGTTGCTTCTTGTCCTGTCTTCAGGCGCTTTGGAAAATAGCTTGGCTCCCTCTTCTTTGGGGCAGCACCTCAAATATTGGAACACATGTGATCGCTATCAAGTCAGTTGGGTTTTTTTTGTGTGTGTTCTTTCATTTAGTGAGCTTGTAAAATGTAATAAAATTAAGGTAATGATGCAAAGAGTTGACTGGTCACCCAGAAAGCGATGTAAAGTAGTATTATGAGTGAACAAGGCTACAGTTATCAAGAAATGAGAAGAAAAATGGGTGGAAACTTAGCCAAAGGTGGCATTTCTACTGTACACTTTTCCCAAAAGGTTTCCACAATTTTGGCCACTACTGTAAGTAGGCACTCTTGAGCAAGGGTGAAAACAGACTTTTAAATGACAATCACTTAACTGGATACACCTGGAGGGGTGAACAACCAAACTAGAATGGGGAATTTTTCTCCTTCGGACCCAAATGACACGGGAAAATTCAGATCCATCCGTGGTTCTTACCTAGATTAGCTGTGAAGATTTGAGACGATAAAATTGAAGTTTCCTTTAAAAACACACAAACACACACACAGAGAGAATAGGCTGTATTAAAATACGCTTCTTGCAAAACGAGTAGCACGAAAACTAATCGTTTTCTGTGGATCTTTTAAAACATCTCTATAGAAGCACATTAAAAAGCCCCCCCCCTCCAAAAAAAAAAAAACCAGGAAGGCTTTAAAGGTGATATAACCAGCACCTGGAATTGCACCTGAAAACACACTGGCAACCAACGCAGTCCACAAATGCAGCTCAGCGGTGTTACGTGTGTCTAATATCTGACATTCTTTCACACCTGTGCAGCCTCCTTCTGCACCAGTTGAAGCTTCCAAATGCTCTTCAAGGGCAGCTCCTTGTAGAACACATTGCAACAGTCCAGACGAGAGGTCACGAGGGTCTGAGGGACTGTGAGCAACGATATGGCTAATTTCCTTTCTCAGCCAACCACAGCTTAGTCAAGGAGCCACCAAAAACACTGCCTCCGACACTGACAGGGCAAGCTGCTTGCATGTAAACCAGTGGTTCTCAACCTTTTTAATGCCGCGACACCCAACCGGTCGTAAGTCGAGGACTACTCAACTGGTCGTAAGTCGAGGACTACTCAACTGGTGCAGCACCGTTTGCAGAATGGGACTTTTGGTGGGCTCAGCAGGGCAGAGACAGCCTGGACAATTCCTATTGGCTTTTGAAAGCCAATAGAATTAGACTCTATTCAAGAGAGTCTATTCTATTGGCTTTCAAAAGCCAATAGAATAAAAGGGAGCAGCACAGCTAAGGAAAAGGGGGGGAAAATGGCGGACTGCGTTGTTTGGCGACCCCCATGAAATGGTCGTTCGACCCTAAATGGGGTCCCGACCCACAGGCTGAGAACCACTGATGTAAACAAAGGGCAAAGCCCACACCCTTCTAGCATTGATGATGTTACCTAGTTGGGTCGTGAAATGTCTGCAAGGAAACAATCCAGCTTGCAGAGCACCCGGGACTCCAGAGTTTAACCCTCCAGATATCCCCTTCTATCAATTTATTTTACCTCAGAAACTTAAAAGAGAATTTTTATCAAAGGATGCACCCTTGGCGTACGACACCAGAAAAATTGTCTAAAGCCTATCCCAAAGATCCTTTTTCAGGAGGCAATTGGATTTTCTTGTTTTGCTTTGAAGACGTTTTGCTTCTCATCCCAGAAACTTCTTCAGCTCTGACTGGAGGGTGGGAAAGGGAAGGATTTATACTCCTTGCAGACAGCTGGTCATTTGCCTCCTTTTTAGAGGGTCGTTGAGGCCACTTGGACCCCGCAGACACAGATAAACCTCCAAGTGGCCTCAACGGCTCTCTAAAAGAAGGCAAATAACCAGCGGTCTGCAAGGAGTATAAATCCTTCCATCCTTCACCATCTAGTCAGAGCTGAAGAAGCTTCTGGGATAAGAAGTGAAACATCTTCCAGGAAAAACAAGGAGGTTCGGTTGTCTAAAGCAGTACAAAGATAGTTTAAAGGGATGTCGGAAACTTGGATAACAAGACGAGTCATTTTATCACCCGTGGTGGCTGGGTAAGAAAGCGAGAAAGTTTTGGATCCAAATACACAACTGACGGCAACACAGATTCAAAGCGAGGTTAGCTGCTAGCCACATTTTTACCTGTATCCCACCACAGACCGGGCAAGACGGGAAGAGAGCTGGCTTTGCCTCGGAAGGGGAGCTGCACAGTTCGCAAGGATGGCTGGAGACGGCCCCGCACGGAGCAGCCTCGGGCCCTCCACGGTCCTGGCCCTGCACTGGCTGCCTGAGCTGCATCTCCGGGAAGGGGCCTTTGGTGCTTCCCAGGGGGAAGACGCCCTGTGAGTCCTTTTCCTGGCTTGGCCTGGAAGCGGCTTCTCTCTCCAGATGCGAGGCCGGCTGTTTCATGTCCCCTTTGAGGGTCTGGCCCTTGGACGGGCCGGCCTCTGTAGCAGAGGCGAGAAGGCCCGCCGTAGGTGTGGCGAGCAAACTCCGGGGCGTATCGTAGGTGTGCCGTAGCCAGCTGGGGGCCTGGTACTCCGGGCCGGGGCAGCTGCAAACATTCCGGTCGGAAGGGAAGCTGAGCGAGAGGTTCAGCAGAGAGCCGAACTCATCCCCGTGGCAAATGTCCAGGCTCCCCGTGTAGGAAGAGAAGCTTCCGGAATACGAGGAGTGACTGCCGGTTGCTATCCCGCTGTCGGACGAGCTCTGGCGGCCAATTTCTTGGAGCTGCCTGCAGCGCAGGAGGCTGGGGGGTGGCTTGCTAGCCCCCTGGGTTCCTTCGGACTGCAGCGTTTCTGTGGCGACGGCTGCAGCCGGTCCACGCGACTCCTGGGAAGTCCCGGCGGAGGACTGCTCCGGCCAGAGGGTCAACCTGCTGCCAATGCTGGGGTCGGAGTGGCTGGTGTCCGAGGATGCACTCGACAAGCTCCGGTCATCCCCTGAGGGAGGGAAGAAGGGACACAGGATTAAAGAGTGGAAGAGGAGCAGAGAGGGACCCCAGTAATCCTGGCCAGACCTTAATTTCGGGAAAATACGGTATCTCTGTTGTTGCTCTGGCTAGTCGTGCGGAACGCTTTGTCCTGTGTTCGCTTCTGTCTACTCCCCAATCCCGTCTCAGCAACTGCCCTTTATGAAGTTGGCCAAAGAATCTTCTTTGCAGACCCGGAACTCAGCACCGGCTGCGCAAAAGGCAGCAAACACAAGGCCGGCCTGGCCTCTGAAGCACAGCCTTATTCTCCTCTGAGCCCTGAAGGATCCAGTTCTGTGGCTCAGCTGCAAAGCAAATTCCTGGGATGGAGAAGGAAGGGCCGGATGAGGTGTTACCTCCGCTGCCGTGGCTGCCGCCGTGGGAAAGCAGGCTGAGGCGCTTCTCCAACTTCGAAGCCTCGTAGGCCACCCTTTCTTCCATGCAGGCGGGACTCACACTGGGGTCTTCGAGAAGAAAGAGAGATCTGTGAGACAGGCTGAGATTAATTCTAATGAACAGCTGAAGAAGAGCCTGACAGGTCCAGCCCAGCTCTGGCTGATCCCAGGATGGCCAGGAGACCAAGCCCAAGTATGCTGAATGAAGTTAACGGTGACTTTGAGCATTTACACCAGGGGTCCCCAACCCCGGGCTGCGGCCCACTAGTGGTCCATGAGCCATTCAAAACCGGAGGAGGGAGGCGGTTTAATGAATATCAACGGCCTAGCTCTTCCAAAAATACTTTAACCAAATTATTTCTCTCGTTTCAATTAATATATACAAAAACAGAGGAAGAATTATTTGATGAGCCAAATGCATTGACTTGGAAAGTTAGTTGGCAAAGAAAGAAAGCTAGAGTAAGACTGAAGGAAACAGAAGCTTTGACCTATTAGAGGGGATGCTATATTATTAATTAGAGGTTTGAATATGGTTAAGAATAGATGGTTAGAAATAGAAGTATTCTTATAACTGGATAGGATATTATATCTTGGTATGAAAAGGGAAATAAGAATAGGCTAAGAACTTTGAATAAAGGATGCTTTTGGTTGCCCAAATACAGCTTGTTTTGAAATTATAAATGGTTGGGATACTTTGAACATGGAAGAGAAATTAAAACGGAAAAAAGCGAAAACAGGATATGGATTAAATAAGTGGAAACAGAGTGCAGATGCAATTAAGGTATGTTTTGGCTAGGAAAGATATTTTAAACTGATATTATTGATATTATTAGAAAAGTGTAACCAATGTTGATATGCAGTTGTATGTTTACTAACAATAATAAGAATTATATTTGCTTAGTGCGGAAAAATGGTTATTATCAGAAGGATGTACTGGACCTAGTTGGGAAAACTTATATGTTAACCCCAAATTTTTAAGGGACTCAGCCATCACGTTGTCAACTGAGCACTTGTTTGTGAAAATAGAAAATTAATAAAACATTTATAAAACAAAACAAAACGGGTCCCGGAAGCAGCGGGCGAGCAGACGCACATCCCCACTTGCGAGAGCCGTGGGTGCGTGTGTCCGCCACTCGCTGCGCACGCACGCTTGCCAGCCACTCGCGGGGAACATCCCCTCTCTCTCCCCCCCCCGTCTCCCCCCCCGGTCCACAAAGCTGGTAAGTTTGGGCAACTCTGCCTTACACAGTTGACTTGGGGTTAGGAACTGTGTATTTTTATCCCGTAGGGTTCTGTTTTCCTCTCTCTAAATACCTAAAGGTCGGGGTTTAGTTATTTAGAGGGGACCAGGGACAGAAGCATCAGCTTTGGTCGTCACCCCATTCCTGTGGGGGGGGGGGGTGTCTCCCGGTCTTAACCTGGTAGCACCCGCCGGAAGCCTTTGGTCGGAGAGATGCCGTGAACAATGCAGTCAAAGAGAAAGCTGATTTTTTCTCCTTCCGTGCAAGAGAGGAAAAAGACGCCGGCCCCTGAAAGAGAGCAAAAACGTAATTTACGCTGCTATGCGTTCAGCCATTTTTGTTTTTTTCAAATGTTGATGCTTTTTTATTCGTTTGTAATGCAAAATGCAAAAACGCAAAAGCAAATAATAGGGGAAAACAGGAGAGGGAAAAGAGAAGGGAAAAATGTAGAAAAAGAAGGGGAAGGAGAAAAAAAAAGGCATTGACTTCCAACTCCATTGGGTGCAGTAGAATAAGATAATAACATCAGTGAGCCTGGCTGAGGAATTCTGGGAGCTGAAGTCCACAAGTCATCAAAGGGCCAAGTTGGAAGACCCCTGTCTTAAATCTAACAAACAAAATGGAGCCTGGTTGAGGAATTCTGGGAGTTGAAGTCCACAAGTCATCAAAGGCGCCATGTTTGAAGACCCCTGTCTTAAATCTAACAAACAAAATGGAGCCTGGCTGAGGAATTCTGGGAGTTGAAGTCCACAAGTCATCAAAAGGCCAAGTTGGAAGACCTCTGTCTTAAATCTAACAAACAAAATGGAGCCTGGCTGAGGAATTCTGGGAGTTGAAGTCCACAAGTCATCCAAGGGCCAGGTTTGAAGACCCCTGTCTTAAATCTAACAAACAAAATGGAGGCTGGCTGAGGAATTCTGGGAGTTGAAGTCCACAAGTCATAAAAGGGCCAAGTTTGAAGACCCCCTGACTTAACCACTGTGGCGAGAAACGTCCCTAAAATGGGGGCAAAACTCACTTAACACACGTCTCCCAGAAATTTGGGGTCAATTACGGTCAATTAAGTTGAGGACTAGCGGTAAGTTTCCCACAGATTCGAAATAAAAATGAGTTTATCAGCAAGAACGCTCTTCGCTTGTTTTAACTGTAAAATCCAAATGCTTTTTTTTTTAAAAAAAGGTGTCTTTTTTTTTTTTAAAAAAAAAAGCTTTATTTTTCTTTAGATTTTAGGATTAGGGTAGCTGAAAGAATTATCCCCCATTATCTCCCTTGCCACATTCTGTTGGAAGGAATTTTCAGCAATCCAGAAAGAGCTTCGTGGGCTGGCTTTCTCTAACTTCTTCGGTTCGCTGATTTTTTTTCTAGATTTAGAGTAAATAAATAAATAAGTGTGTGTGTGTGTGTGTGTGTGTGTGTGTGAATAATATCATTAAAAATACGATTCCTGGGTATACTCATACTGCAAAAAACGAACCAAACATGAACACCAACCTGGTGTTCATGTTTGGGTCGTTTTTTGCAGTATATATATGTGTATATGTATGTATGTATGTATGTATATCTTGGCAAGATGAATACTCACAGAAGCCGCATCGTGTCCCGCCTTCAAAAACAAATCCGTTAGGAACGGCCCCATAGCGCCGTAGTTCCGAAAGCTTCCACTGACCCATAATAACTGGTGGGACATCTTTCACTAGGACTAGCATGTCGTTGCAGAAGTGAAGAGTCGCTGGGCCACTTTCCAGCTTGGTTCCAGGCGCTACGATAACGTGAAACCTGTGGACTGTTGGGATGGGGGGGGGTTATAAACCCAAAGAATTCAGCTTTTCATTTAAATATCTTTAGCCTACATGCTGCCTTTGGATCAGCTAAGATCTTTGCATTGGCCAGCAGCATTGTGACGATACCTGTACGAAGGACTATCTATATATATTCATATAAGCCAGTGTTTCTCAACCTTGACAATTTTAAGGCCTGTGGACTTCAACTCCCAGAATTCCACAGCCAGCAATGCTGGCTGTGGAATTCTGGGAGTTGAAGTCCACAGGCCTTAAAATTGTCAAGGTTGAGAAACACTGATATAAGCTAATGATTCAGATTTCTCTGAGGAATAATTTGGAATGCAGAATTTGAAGATGCTTAACAGAGGGAATGCAAAAGATAAAGACTTGGGGTGGGTCATGGGATAAATACTGTTTTTTAAAGCTCCCTCAATAGTATACCCTTTAAACATCAAAAAATAAGAGGAACGATGAATTTATGAAAGAGAACATTGTTTATTTTTCTTTAAGCAAGTCAAGACAAGGAGGGTGGGTATATGCAGAATGTTTTTTTTGTTTTGTTTTGTTTTTGAGAGCTGAATGCAACAAAATTTCATTTTAATGTATGCTGATTTTATCCCTAGAGGATAAAAATGCACAGTTCCTAACCCTAACTGTGTAAGGCAGAGTTGCCCAAACTCTGAGGAATTCTGGGAGTTGGAAGTCCACGAGTCACGAAGGGGCCAAGGTTCCCCCCATGCTGGCTCAGGAATTCTGGGAGTTGAGGTCCACCAATCATGAAAGGGCCATAGTTCCCCCCATGCTGGCTCAGGAATTCTGGGAGTTGAAGTCCGCGAGTCATGAAGGGGCCAAAGTTCCCCCCATGCTAGCTAAGGAATTCTGGGAGTTGAAGTCCACCAATCATGAAAGGGCCATAGTTCCCCCCATGCTGGCTCAGGAATTCTGGGAGTTGAAGTCCACGAGTCACAAAGGGGCCATAGTTCCCGCCATGCTGGCTCAGGAATTCTGGGAGTTGAAGTCCACAAGTCACAAAAGGGCCATAGTTCCCCCCATGCTGGCTCAGGAATTCTGGGAGTTGAAGTCCACCAGTCATAAAGGGGCCATAGTTCCCCCATGCTGGCCTAGGAATTCTGGGAGTTGAAGTCCACGAGTCACGAAGGGGCCACAGTTCCCCCCATGCTGGCTCAGGAATTCTGGGAGTTGAAGTCCACCAATCATGAAAGGGCCAAAGTTCCTCCCATGCTGGCTCAGGAATTCTGGGAGTTGAAGTCCACCAGTCATAAAGGGGCCATAGTTCCCCTCATGCTGGCTCAGGAATTCTGGGAGTTGAAGTCCACCAGTCATAAAAGAGCCAAGGTGGCCTACCCCTGGCCAGGGCCGCTTGCCTTACCTTCCCCTAAACTGTAGCGGACGTGCAGATCCCAGAGGTGCATGGTCTCCTTGCTCTCAAAGCCCAGCATGACCACCTGGGTGAGGCAGATGATGGCCAGGGTGTGGGTTAGCCCATCGTAACAAAGGCCGGGCTCCAAGCCGCAAATGTCCTCCAGGGTCACACTGCTCCTCTCCTTCAGCCCTCTCAAGCGCTCAGCCCTCTCCTTGTACACCAGCAGGAGCAAACAGTCTGAAAGAGAGAGGGGGGGGGAATGTCACCTCAAGACTGGACTACTGTAATGCGCTCTCCATGGGGCTACCCTTGAAGAGCGTTCGGAGGTTGCAGTTGGGGGGGGGTAGATAAGCAAGCAGGCAGCAGAGGGAGCACAGGGATGGGAGGCCACCAGGAAAGCCCAGGGGGCGATGGGGGAGGGCAGCTCTAATGCACAACATCTCCAAGGGTTGATGCCCCCCCCCCGCTCAGGGGCTGCCAAAGCCAGACCCTTGCCCAACAGGTGCAGCCCCCGCCCCCTCCCCAGTGCAATGCCACCAGGAGGCGGGGAGGGCGAGCAAAACCGAACAGCGGAGGGGCGTGGGGAAAGGAGGCCACCAGGAAAGCGACGGGGGGGAAGGGGAGCCCTAGCGCAGCCCCCACCATCTTCCAGAGCCCCCTCCTCCTGGCCATGCCCCCCTCCCAGGCGCGGGGGCTGCGGGGGGGGAAGGGCTGGGATGGCCGGGGCAGGTGCAGCCGACCCGCAGCGGAAGGGTCGCGGGGACGGGAGGCCACCAGGAAATCCCAGGGGGCAAACGGGGGGGGGGGAGGGAAACTCACCGGCCACCGGAGACGGCTTGCGCAGGACCAGCCACCGGCTCTTCCACTGTTGGGGGGCGGGGGGGGGAGAAGAGAGAAAGAGGGGGGGGGTGAGCAGCGTCCCAGGGCCTTCCCTCCCCACCCCCGCCCTTCCTCTCCTCCCCCTCCCGGGCACCTTCTTCCCCTCCCGCCACTTCAGCTGCCCCTCCAGCACCACCGCGGCGGCGGCGGCGGCGGCGGGCTCCGTCATCTTCGGGCATGGCTGCCGACAGCTGCTGGGGGGCGGGGCCAGAGGAGGGAGGGCTTTCCCGGCCGCCATCACCCCCTCGCGCGCGTTGCAGGCTGGGAGCCGTAGTCCGCGCAGGACGCTGCCACGCCGGCGGGCGGGCCGGACCGGACCGCTGATTGACAGCGGCGGCGCGCGTCGCCCTGGCAACGGGGCCCAACGCGGGCGGCGGCGGCGGAGGTGAGCCGGGCGGGCGCGGAGAAAGGGCGGCGGGCGAGCGGGAGCCTCCTCGGGCTCCCTGCGGGAAGCAGCGCCGGTCCCGGGAGAGGGGAGCGCCCGGCTGATGGAGATCGGAGCCGGGCGGGGGACGGGGGGCGGCGGGAAGGGGCTCCGGGGGGCTCCGGGGGGGGCGGGCGGGGAAGGAGCGCCGGTCCCTCCTGGCCAGGGGTCTCCTCGAGGGCATCTGGCCCTTCCCTTCCCTTGGCTCTCTTTCTTTCCCTTCCTCTTCCCTTCTCCGTCCCTCCCTCCCTCCCTCCTTCTTCTTATCCTCCTTTCCCTCTTTCTTCCTTTCCTTTCCTTTCCCTTTCTTTGATCTTCCTTTCCTATCCTTTTTTCCCTTTCCTTCTTCCCTCTTCCCTTTTCTTTTTTCCTTTCTCCTTCTTTTATCTTCCTTTCCCTTTCTCTTTTTATCTCTCTTTCCCTTCCCTTCTCTTCTTCCCTCTTCCCTTTCCTTTCTTCCTTTTCTCCTTCTTTTCTCTTTTTTCCCTTTCTCCTTTTATCTTTCCTTCCCTTCCCTCCTTTCCCTTCTCCTTCTTTTATCTCCCTTCCCTTCCTTTTTTCCCTTTCCTTCTTCCCTCTTCCCTTTCCTTTTTTTCCTTTCTCCTTTTATCTTCCCTTCCCTTTCTCTTTTTATCTCTCTTTCCCTTCCCTTCTCTTCTTCCCTCTTCCCTTTCCTTCCTTTCTTTTCTCCTTCTTTTCTCTTCTTTTCCCTTTCTCCTTTTATCTTTCCTTCCCTTCCCTCCTTCCCTTCCCTTTCCTCCTTTCCCTTCTCCTTCTTTTATCTCCCTTTCCTTTCCCTTCCTTTTTTCCTTTCCTTCTTCCCTCTTCCCTTTCCTTTCTTCCTTTCTCCTTCTTTTATCTTCCTTTCCCTTTTTATCTCTCTTTTCTTCCCTTCCCTTTCCTTCTTCCCTAATCCTTTCTCCTTTTACCCCCCTTCCCTTTCATTTCCTCCTTTCTCCTTTTATCTCCCTTTCCCTTCCCTTCCTTTCTCCTTTTATCTCCCTTCTTTCTTCTTTCCTTCCCCTCTCCTTTCCTCCCTTGCGGCTTCCTTTATGTCTTCTTTTCCTATCCTTCTACTTTCCTCCACTTCACCTTCCCTCCCTTTCTCCTAGCCCCTTCCCCTCTCTGCCCCCTTTCCCTTCCTTTCCTCCCCCACTCCTTCCCCTACCCCTTCCCCCCTCTTTCCCCCCCCCCTCCACCTTTCCCTTTTCCCCTCCTTTCCTTTCTTCCCCCTTGGAAACCCCTAACTCAGGGGTAGGCAACCTTGGCTCTTTTATGACTCATGGACTTCAACTCCCAGAATTCCTGAGCCAGCATGGCTGGCTCAGGAATTCTGGGAGTTGAAGTCCACGAGTCATAAAAGAGCCAAGGTTGCCTACCCCTGCCCTAACTCCTAAGCCACACTGGGACGATGGGCTGACACTACCTCTTGTGGGGAGGGGGAGAAAGACCCTTCTCCAGCTCTGCCTGAGCGCAGTTTCTGGGCTGCTTCATTGTTTGTGCGTCTTCCCCTCCTCCAGCTGAAGTTATTCACTGCTGGATGCTGGTATTTTGTGGCTGCCAAGGGTGTATTGCAAGGCCGCCTTGCCTCCCTTCTCCCTGTCTGCCTGCTTCCCAGGACTTCCCAGAGGTGCTTTTTCCAGGAGGCAACTGGACTTTCTGGTTTTTTTGGAAGACGTTTTGCTTCTCGTCCCAGAAGCTTCTTCAGCTCGGACTGGATGGTGGGGAAGGTTTTATACTCCTTGCAGACCGCTGGTCATTTGCCTCCTTTGAGAGGGTCTTTGAGGCCACTTGGAGCTTTGTCTGTGTACTCCGGGTCACCTGAGTGGTGCAAATGGGTGTGGAGCCTTCTGGGAACTGCTGAAAGGGAGGATATACATTCCTTGCAGAAAACTAGTCATTTGCCTCCTTTTAGAGAGTCATTGAGGCCACTGGGAGGTTTATCTGTGTCCTCAGTGGTCCCAAAGGTACTTTTTCAAGAGGCAACTGGCCCAGGCCAAGGCAGCGGGGGCCGTTCCCTCACTATTTCCAAGATGGCTTCGTGGGCCAGATGAAACCACTTCGCGGGCCGCATCCGGCCCCCGGGCCTTGTGTTTGACATGTCTGACTTACAGGAATGATTTTTTTAAAAAAAGGTTTTTGGCATTTGTGAAATGTAAAAACGGCATTTATATTTTCCAGACTTAAGGTGCGTGCCTAATTATTATCCGGACAGAAAACTAACCATTCCCCTAGTAATAGCTGTGCTCTAAACTGCCTTTGATCTCTGCCTTCCTTTGGCAATGCTCAATAAAGCCCTTTGATAATGGCTCATGGGTGTGGTGCCTTACTTGAACTCGTTTCCCGAGCTCGCCCAGACTCCTTCACAAGTCTTGCCAGCCCTGAAAAGCCCTGTCCTAGTGGACCATCACCTAAACAGGAGCCAGCCGTGTGCTGCAGCTGCCAAAGAAGCCAACACAGTGCTAGGCTGCATTAACAGAGGGATAGAATCAAGATCACGCGAAGTATTAATACCACTCTTCAATGCCTTGGTAAGGCCACACTTGGAATACTGCATTCAGTTTTGGTCACCACGATGTACAAAAGATGCTGAGACTCTAGAAAGGGAAGAGCAGCAAAGATGACTAGGGCAGGGCTTTTCAGCCTTTTCACCCATTGTGCCACTTTTAGGATATGGCAACATCCAAGGACCACCAGTCGCCTAGCAAGGTGTCAAAAACTTGATGACCCCCCCAAAAAAACAAAAGGAAAAAAGTGATAAAGTACAGGTAGTCCTCGACTTACAACAGTGCGCTTAATGATTGTTTGAAGTTACAATGGCGCTGAAAAAAGGCCCCCTCAAGCCACAGCCGAGCAAGACACCTGCCTGCCCGCCCAGCTTTCCCCCTCCCCCTCCGCTCTAGACCCTCTTTGTGTTGTCTTCCTAAAGCCAACCTTCAGGTAGGGGGATCTACACATTTGACACATAATCCGTGGTGTCTGAATAAGACCATAAAATCAACTGCATAATGTGTTGTATTTTATGATTTGGGATGAATGTATTTTTTTTATGTTGATTGTGATCATCATTTATCACTATTGTTTGTATGTACACTGACAGCTTATGCACCAGAGACAAATTCCTTGTGTGTCCAACCACACTTGGCCAATAAAGAAGAATAGAATAGAATAGAATAGAATAGAATAGAATAGAATAGAATAGAATAGAATAGAATAGAATAGAATAGAATAATAGAATAGAATAGAATAAGGAATAGAATAGAATAGAATAGAATAGAATAAAATAATAGAATAATAGAACAGAATAGAATAAGGAATAGAAGAATAGAATAGAATAGAATAGAATAGAATAGAATAGAATAGAATAGAATAGAATAGAATAAGGAATAGAATAGAACAAGGACTAGAATAGAGAGTAGAGTAGAGTAGAGTAGAGTAGGAAGGGACCTTGGAGGTCTTCTATCCAGCCTTAAGCAGGAGAACCTATACCATGTCAGACTAGTGACTGTCCAGTCTCTTCTTAAAAACCTCCAGTGATGGAGTGCTCACAACCTCTGGAGGCAAGCTGTTCCACTGGTTAATTCTGCCAAATCTGAAGCTAGCGATTTAATAGGTTTCTCACTGACAGTTTATTTGACAAGTGACTAGTATCCTAAGCAATGATGCTTATGAACATATTTTCTTTTCTTTCTTTAGGACAAGGGAAGATGCAGACTTGATAGCGCATGACAATGTAATTCTGGATAGATTTTTTCAGCCCCAACAAATTTCCAGCATGTACAGACCAGGAGAGAAAGTCAAACGGCGGCTACGCGCTCACGGTTCCAGCATCAGAAACGTCGAAATTGCTAGAGGGAGAGCAGGATACGGTTTTACTGTTTCCGGCCAAGCTCCCTGCGTGCTTAATTCTGTTTTAAAAGGAAGTCCCGCAGATTACGTGGGGCTCAAGGCCGGAGATAAGATATTTGCAATCAATGAAATTAATGTGAAGAGGGCCTCCCACGAAGATGTGGTGAAGCTGATAGGCAAATGCTCCGGGGTTTTGCACATGGTCATTGCAGAAGGGTTCAGTCACGCCGAAGCTTGTTCAAGCGACGAAGAAGATGGTCTTTATGATGGCAAAGGGTGGCCAAAGACCAAGCCTGACTTGAAAGGCCCCGGTATAAACCGGGCAGAGAAAGTGGTGGAGGAAATGCAATCAGGTGAAATTTTCAACATGATCTTCGAAAGTTCTAATATTTGTGCTAGTGAGGTGCCGATACCAAAAAGAAAAGAAACTTCCGCTCACGACGGGGCCAAGATGGAAACGGAACCTCTGCCGAGGAACGATCAACCCCACGTGCCGTACAATGAGGAACAGCCACAAGCCTTGAACAATGACTTGTTTTCTCGGGCTGGATGGGAAAATCAGGAGTACTGCGGAATTGACGCCAGCATTCTAAACGTGGCCATGATCGTGGGCTACCTGGGATCCATCGAACTCCCTTCTTTGAGCTCGAATCTGGAATACGACAGCTTGCAGGCCATCCGCGGTTGCATGCGCCGTCTTCGGGCCGAGCAAAGAATCCATTCCTTAGTGGCGATGAAGATCATGCACGACTCCATTCAGCTCTACACAAACCTGTCCGTTGTGATTGCAAAGTATCCAGCCGAGAAGCTGGCCTTTAGCGCTCTCTGTCCCGACGACAAACGTTTTTTTGGACTGGTCACCATGCAGAGCGTGGACGAGGCAAGCTTAGCTTCGGAGGACAAAGTGGTCTTGAGGACCTCCTGCCACGTGTTTATGGTGGATCCGGAGCTATTCAGTCATAAAATTCATCAGGGCATTGCCCGCCGATTCGGATTGGAGTGCACGGCGGATCCCGACACCAACGGCTGCCTTGAGTTCCCTTTGTCGTCTCTCCCAGTCCTTCAGTTTGTCTCTGTCCTGTACAGGGACATGGGGGATTTCATCGAGGGGGTGCGGGCCAGGGCCTTCCTCGACGGAGAAGCAGATGCCCATCAGAACAACAGTATGAGCAGTAACAGTGACAGCGGGATCGGGAACCTCCATCAAGAAGAAAAAAGTAGGGTTTTAGTGGTCGATTTAGGAAGCAACATCAACAAACACCTGCTTGGTAATAACGTACAGGGCAGTCCAATAAACAGAGCTCACAACTCCCACTGGAATTTTGGTCACGAACAAGAAAACGTAGGGTCAGGAGCCGTGTTCCAGAACGATAAATCTCAAAACCTAAATAAATTCCTGGCGTCTTCGGCTCACGTCGACGTTGCGGTAGCGGCTTCGAAAAGCTCAGCGCCGCCCAATAAGAAGAACCCCGCGGACAATCAGAGGTGGTTGCCTGTTCACGTACTGAAAGATTGGCAACAGGGATGTCTAAGCGACCAAGAGTCGTACACGGATTCCACCGACGGCTGGTCAAGCGTCAACTGCGGGACGCTTCCGCCTCCTATGAATAAAATCCCTGCGGATAGATACAAGGTCGGCGGCGGCTTTGGCCAGCCTCATCTCGTGTCCCCAACGAAAGAACTGGCTGAGAAAGAATTTCAGGTGGCTTCAGATCCCTTCGATTCTCGACCCGGTTTCAGAACCCCCAGAGAAGAAAAAAAGATAAATACGGTACGTTAATAAAATACAGGTAGTCCTTGTCTTACAACAGTTCATTTAGTGACCACTCAATAACACTAACGTTAATTGTCTTTAGTTCCTGCAATAGGGGACTTTATATACCGCTGCTACTGTTGCTGTTAAGATGTTATTCTTTCCTGCCTGAGCAGGGGGTTGGACTAGATGATCTCCAAGGTCCCTTCCAACTGCATTATTATTATTATTATTATTATTATTATTATTATTATTATTATTATTATTATTTTGGATCATCGCACAGTCAGCCAGATGTTCAGACTCGATTTGGCATTTTGTCTACCTATCGAGTCCTTACCCAGGACCTGGGATAGGCAGATGTGGATGTTTGATGGTATTACAGATACTGTCACAGGATGGAAGCAGTTCCTAGCAAGGCCGCCTTTTGCAACTGACTAATAGCGAATTTGTCAATGCCAATGGTGTTCAAGTGGTGCTCCAGTTGTTTTGGGATTGCACCCAAGGAGCCTATTACTATTGGTACTACCCTTGCTTGCTTTTGCCACAGTCTTTCTATTTCTATCTGTAGGTCTTTGTATTTTGTTATCTTCTCCAGTTCTTTCTCGTCTATTCTGCTGTCTCCAGGCACTGCCATGTCCACTATCCAGACTTTTTTGTCTTTCTTATCGACAATTGTTAAGTCTGGGGTGTTATGTTGCAGGTGCTTGTCTGTCTGAATTCTGAAGTCCCAGAGCAGTTTAATTTTATCATTTTCTATGACTTTCTCTATTTTATGATCCCACCAGTTTTTGCTTACAGGCAGATCTTCCAATGCACCATTGTTGCTACTTTCTCATGCCGTTGCTTGTAGTCAGTCTGTGCAATCTTCTTGCAACAGCTTACCAGGTGGTCCACTGTTTCTTCAGCTTCTTTGCATAGGTGGCACTTACTGTCTGTTGCTGTCTTCTCAATTTTGACTTTATATGCATTTGTCATTATTATTATTATTATTATTATTAAATATGCTGACTATAAATCCCTTAGAGAGGTCTGTAAAGTACTGTGAAGTGGTATAAAATTCTTAAGTGCTATTGTTATCGCTGAACTAGGGAAACAGATTTTCCCGCCATTCCTTCCCCCGTCTAGCCCTAGAGGGGTGAGGGTCTCCACTCAGTGGAAAAGGCTGCATTGGTTTGCAGCGGAGTTCAGTGGGAAGGAAAGAAAGTCCTCAACCAAGCAGAGATCTTGTCCAGGAGTAGATTTTTGCTCAGGAAGAGAGGCCTATGTCTTGGCCGAATGCAGGGGGATCTACCAACCTTTTGGGATGCAGGAGCAGCTGTTCTGGAAAGGAGGAAGGTGAACAATTTGTTCCATACCCAATGTGCCTGCCTAAATCTGGATTTCCTCCCCCCCGTCCCCCTTGTTGCGTGCTCAGAGTTGGAGAGAATGAAAGCAGGGCTGCTATTTAAAGCATTTACCATTTTCAGACAATGTTTTTTTCTCTCCAACGCAAGAGCACCCCACCATAAAGAACGTTTTAGACTCCATTGTGTAAGAATAGAACCCAAACCCTACAATTAAGAAAATTACATTACTGGGCCGACACTAAACAAATCCCAGCTGCGGCTAATTTTGCTTGACAAAGAACTTGAAAACCTGCACAATGGAAACAAAGATCGGGCAGTGCAATTACCCAACACAAAGAACCCGAGGCCGGGTGGTGCCGTTTTGTTAGCGTTGTCCGTGCGTCAGCAAAAAACGGTGGAGAAATTGGGACGAGGGATTTCTCGCGATCGACACGAGTCCAATGAACGATCATTTTATTGATTTATCTCCCAAGAGCTACTATTCTTCCCAAATAAATAGAACAGAAGAATAGAGTATAGAATAAAAACTTTATTGTAGTGGGGGGGGGGTCACGTGATCCTCTTTTGAAGCTTTCTGGCAAGCAGAGTCAATGGGGGAAGCCAAGTTCATTTAACAATGATCGCTAGGTCCCCACCTAGAGAGGTAAAAGGTAAAAGAGTCCTTGTGGATTTTACTCCGCTAGCCGCTGCTGATTCTAGGGGGCGCTGCTCGTCTCCGTTTCAAGTTCATTGATTCGGCGCTCTCCAAAGACATTTCCGCGGTCATGTGGCCAGCATGACGTCACGGAGTGCTGTTACCTTCCCACCAAAGCAGTCCCTATTTATCTACTCGCGCTTTCAAACTGGTTGGTTAGCAGGAGCTGGAGCAAGGAACGGGAGCGCACCCTAAACTAAAAACGATTGAGAAAATAAGAATATTATCATGTAATATTAATTTGTTGATGTAGATGGCGAGAATTTAAATAGATAAGATGTGTACTCCGAACATTAGATTTCGTGAGGTGTTGTGATAAAAGAACTGGGGTCTTTCAAAATTTGGGGAACGATCAATGTTAAACGTCAAATTTGAATATTAATGGAAAATTAAAATTGGAAAAAGGTACCAGGTCACTGACTGTCTAAAACAGTGGTGGCGAACCTATGGCACGGGTGCCAGAGGCGGCACTCAGAGCCCTCTCTGTGGGCACGCGCGCCGTCGCCCCAGTCCTAGGCCTTCAGCTGGGTTTTATAAAACCTTTTTCACTTTAGGCCCCCGCCACAGTGTACCAAAAAAAAAGGTTCAATCAGTCAATTTCAACTTCTCACGGGGAAAAAAAATCTTGCAAAGTTGGAATTGATTGATTGAACTTTTTAGTCCCACCCAGTCTGCCGTTACCACCGCAGCCACGCCCATCCAATGGGCCACACCCACCCAATGGGCCACACCCACCCGGCACCCGACGATGCATAAGTGGGTTTTGGGTTGCAGTTTGGGCACTCGGTCTCTAAAAGGTTCGCCATCACTGGTCTAAAAGATTGAATGCTAAAACAATTAGAATATTTATAAGCTAAAAACTATTGACAAAAATAAGAAAATTATTTTTTATTGGATTGATAAAACAAGAATTGTTTTAATCTAAACATGGACAGTTTCTATTAAGGGGAAAGAGAGGAATTGCTTATGGTAGTAGTTTGAGATTTGTACTAATGATACTTGTTTGTAATTGAATTATTATAACTCAGATGCCACGTTTTTCAAATATGCAAATGCAGTATCAGAAAATTAATAAAATTTATATATATATATAAAAAAGGAACGGGAGCTCACCCTGTCTACAGTGCTCGGGTCTTGAACCCAGGTGAACGGCTTTCCAGACAACAAGCCCAGCATCTTAACCTCTAAGCTGCTGCTTTCGTCCCCACCAGGAGAGGGGAATGCTTAAATTGGCAGTTCCCATCGGACGAAAGGGGGAGCTTTTGGTTGCACCCACACTTTTATTGTTTATTCTCCTCTGTGCATAGGGAATTGGCTTTAAAAATGAGGCTTAATAAAAATTTGCTTTCAAGGAAGTACTAGGGAAATAGATCGTGCAGAACGAAGACGGAAAGCTAATCCAACGTCTGCTTTTGTGGCTTATTTAGGGGGCAAAATTCGGACCCGAATTCGGATTGGCACAACTCTTCCATCATTCTTCTTTGGCTCAAAAATCGTTTGGGCGCGCCAAGAGATTCAGCGTTACCCGTTCGCTCGAGGATCTCGAGGTAACTGTGACTTTCGTGACTTCCTACGAAGACGGTAAAGGCGGGTTAATAAGTTAGTTCATTTTGACGCTGGAAAATTAATGGAAAAGTTCATTAAGTACAAACCTTAAGATCTGCCTTGAAGTGACGTTGCGCTTCCCATTTCCTCGTTTTTTGAGTCTTAAATTCTGCTTTTCTTAGCAATGTTTAGTATTCGTGACTGCAAAGGTGTTCTTATACAGAGAGGAATTTAAACTTTGGGGATGGTTGTGCGATCAGCGAGGGCACAGTTGATCTCCAGATGTAAGTCGCTAAGCGAGACATTTGTTGAGCGTGGCCCTATTTTACGCTCTTTCTTGTCACAGCTGTTGAGCAAATCGCTGCGGTCGTTACGTTAGAAAAACGGTTGTAAAGTGAATCCGGCTTCAATTTTGCGGGTCAGAACGTGGGCAAAGGGGATCACGCGATCCCAGGACACTGCGACACCGTCATAAATAGGAGGCAGTTGACAAGCATCTCAATTTTGATCACGGGACCACAGGGACGCTGCCCCGGTCGTAAGTGTGGAAAAAAAATGGTCGTTAAGTCTCTTGTCTCAAGTGATGCTGCAACTTCCAACAGTCACTATGGTGCTTTAATTGGCTCTTCGGGATGTTCTCGAAGACTCACTTCTCTTTTTTAAAAAAGTATTTTATTCATTTTCTATTATTACAATTCGTTAGTGCTTAATGCACGACGTGTGGTCTGGGTTGATTTTTTTTTGCTTAGTCACAAAAGTTAAGTTCTTACTCTCTTATCTCGTTTTTCCAGACATTGATAAAATAAGTCCCACGTTGGGAAGTATTCTGTGTCTCCTTTTTTCTTTGATTCTCAATGTAAGTGTCATGGTTCCGACAGATGAAACTCTTCAAAGGACTTTGGAGGCATTGTTTACTGTAAAGAAGCTTTATTTAAGTTGCATACCATCGGCACTAACATAATCGAAGCCAAAAACTGAGTTCCCCTCCCCTTGAGCACGTAGTATCAAAGCACAATTCCCTCCCCCAATTAACAGTCATAAATCACATTCTCCAATTAGTTTGAAATGCAGGCTTTCCCTCCAGTTCCCCAGCCCACCAATTCTTATCATCTCCTATTTCAATAACCTTGGTTCTCACACTAGGTACAGCGTTATTATGTCTAGCTAGACTCTCATGCACATACCCCCCCTCCCCAGCATCATCTAACTCTACAAGCAAAGAGAATGGCTGCATCTCCATCTCTTGTCAATGCCAAAACATCCCATGTTAGCAGCGTTGACAGTAAACCTTGTCTAGTTCAGCACAGCTGAAGACACACTTTTCAACAGTTCAGAGCTCGCTGGCTTAAAACGAGTGGGTGTGGTGCCCATTATTTTATTTTTATTTTTGGGGGTTGGGAAAAAGGAGCTCTTGTAAACTCAACTCAAAGGAGCAAAGAAGCCGATTGGAGCAAGCCGCAAAGCAAACTTTGCCGTGTGATTACAATCTTCCCTGGACTTGCAGCTACACGCCGAGAAGCACGCAAAAGGCAACAAGCTTTTGCAGGAACTGTCTGAATCCGGAGCTGGAGATTTCAACTTGCCTAAACGAAGAACTGAAAAAGAAAAGGAATTGGTGGATAGCTCATTGCTATGCAGAGGCTGTCACAACAGGAATTTAAAGCCTTGAGTTTGGGCTGCTTCTCCCTGTTGTAGCACTGCGAAGGAGCCTACTACGCTGAACCTGGGTGGGGAGAAAGGAGAGAAAGAAGATCAGACACTTCCCACTCCCAGTTGTTTTACGAGGAAGGAGCAGGGAGCATGTCTCAGCAAGGAACCCAAGAATTTTACTTAAATGGGAGATAAGGCCCCAAAGTCTGTCTGTTCATGGATAAAGTTTGCAAAGCCAGTCACGTAAGTTTCCTTTTTCTTAAAAAAAAAAAAAAAAGAGAGAGAGAGAGAGAGAGAGAGAGAGAGAGAGAGAAAGAATAGTCTATATTGGCTCTTGGGGGGGAAAAAAATTCTTTCTGTCTTTATTCTGCAGGTTGTTGATTTTCTCTCTTGATTATTTCATGACGATGTCAATGAACAATAATTTCTTAGCATTCTAATGCGCAACGGTGACCGCTTCGTTTTAAGTTTCCCAAGCAATTTGAAATAGTGATTCTTTTCTCGCTGTTTTCTTTTCTCGCTGCTTTAATGTTTGTTTACAACGAGCTCAACCCTTTTGTGGCTCGTTCAAAATTTCCATCCTCTTGCGTGTCGCTTTGCTCGAGGTGGTTTTATCTCTTTTGGACCGGACGGAGGAAAACGTTTCAAAAGATCGGGGCAGAATAATTTAAAAACCGGACAGATTGATGGCGAAAAGAACGTTAAAACAGCGGGACTATTCCTTAGGCTCTTTTATCCCCGTTGAGAAAAAAATAAATGTTTGGTTGAGAAGGAAGCCCCATAAAGCTAAATAGGGCTCCTGTCTGCGAAGCCGTGCCTTGGATTGCACGTTTTCCACGGGGATTTTACCGATGGTTGGTCAGTTTAACTTCTGATATTCAGATATTTGCAACCTTCCTCTCCAAAGACAAAAAGTTTTAATCTCTGATTCGCTGTCTTACATCATGTACGGAGGAGATGTGTTTTTTTCTCGATGGGAACAGCTGCTGGCGAGGAATAATGGATGATGAATGAAAAAAAAACGAGAGGAACTTGTTCAGACATCAGTGAACAATCCTCAAGCACAGCTAGTTCTAGACTTAACAACCGTTTGTTTAGTGACCGTCCAAAGTCACGACGGCATGGGCAAAAGTGACTTAGGACCATTTTTCACCCTCCCACGGTCATGTGATCCAAATCCAAAGGCTTGGCAACTGGCATGTACTTACGACGGTTGCAGCATCCCCAGGGGTTACATGGTCCCCTTTTTGCGACCTCCTGACAAGCAAAGTCAATGGGGGGGGGAAGCCAGATTCACTTAATAACCGGGCTACCGACTTAAACACCCCAATGGTTCACTTAACAACAGCGGCAAGAAAAGTCGTAAAATGGGGGCAAAACTCACTGAGCGGATGTTTCCCTTAGCGACGTCAGTATTGGGCTCAACTGTGGCCGTGAGTCGAGGACTGCCTATACACCCAACCAGCGGACTTAGTTTGTGTACGTGTGTGCCTGTAATTACCGTTTCCGTTCCTGTGAATGGATGGGTTAGATCAGAGGTCTCCAACCTTTCCGGCAGACCGGAAGGAAAGTGGGAAGGAAGCATTTTGTGCACGCATGCACACACGTGCGCACGCCCACAAACAGGGCGGTGCTAGCGCCCGCGTGACACTCACTAGCACTGCCCCATTTTCACCACACGGTTCCCCGTTTTTGTCAGGCGGCGCCCTGTTTGCGTAGCGCTGGCAGTACTAGCGTGAGGAGGGTGAGCACGTGCACACATATGTGCGTGCACTGGCCAGTTCCGTGGCCAGCAGGCCACGGCCCGCTAGTGGGCCGTAGCCCACAGGTTGGGGACCCTTGGATTAGACGACAGACAGATCAATAATTTCCAGCAGGGTCTCACCCTGGTGGGTTAGCTGGAACGAATTTCTGCAGGTAAACGAAGCAGGAAAGTCCCCTGGCCTGCAGTTAGATTCAGGGGCCACGTCTTCAGTTTTTAGCTGCTTCCAAGGATTTCGTTATTTTTTCTTTCTTGTTTAGTTATACGTGAATACTATAAGATACAAAAACACAAACGAAAAGAGTAGGAAGGGGGGAAACGCGTTGATTTCCGACTCTTTGGCGCAGTAGAATAAGATCATAAACATCCAACCTCAACTTTTTACTTTTACTTACTAGTATGAACTGGCCATTTCTATAACGACAAGCTTATCTAAACCCAAAATCAAATTTTCATTTTTTTTTCCCACCTCCAGCACAGAGTCCAGAAGTGGTTTCCAAGTAGAAACAAAAGTGTGTGTGTTTTTTTTCTTTAATCAAAGCAATCAGCTAAGCCATCCCTGCTAACTCCCATCAACTTCTGCAGCCCTTCATCCGTTGTGGGAATCACAGCGTCCTTCCATTTTTTGTACATAAAGCAATCTTTTTTTTTTTTTTTTGAAAATATTTTATTGTTTTTTTTAATTTTTAAGAAAAAGTACTCAGGACACACGTGGTGTTTGGGTAATCAGACATTCCAAAGTAAAAACATAAATAAACAACTCAATACATTCACGGTCTCCTCTCTATTTCCCTCAAATAACATAATCAATTTAAAATATTAAATTTCTATTAAGTACATAAAGCAATCTTGTTGCCGTCAATGTATAGAGCATCAGAGTTTTTCCCCCAAGTCTTTTTTCCATTAAACCCCAAAGAAAAGTTTCTGCTTTTCTCTTTATATTCCCTTTGAATCCTACTCCAATATTTCTTTGCCTTTGCGCACGTCCACCATAAATGATTTTTAAAAAGTCCTTTCTTTTGTGTTTCCAACATTCAAGGGTTTTCATGGGCTTCTGTGCTTTGAACTGACCGAGTTCTTTTCTCCATCCTCCCTGTTAAGTACTCCAGTAGAAAAAAAAAAAAAAAACAGACCAAACCACCCACCCACCCACCCAGCCACACACACACACAGGTCAACAAGGCAAAAACTGGGCGT